TCTGATGAAGTACTCCTTTTCTTTTTGCGAATACAGACTAACATGGCTGTTACTCTGAAACTTAAAAATGAATGGCAGGACTCTCCCAAAATAAAAAAATTAGACAATCCAAATTGCGGTAGTAACAGTACAAGTGCCTTAACGAAGAGGTAGGAGCAGGCAGTGATGGGCACTATAGAGAAAGAGTCATTTTCCCCCAGCATAGCCAAAATTTGGTCATCAGTGTAAGGAGGGCAATTTGTGGATTGGAGACCTCAGACTGTGCACAGCATCAGTGGCTCCAGAGGGGCCATCTGGGTGCGGCAAAGAAGTGGACATGGTTTTGCCTTCATGTTTGTAGGAACTGCTGCAGTATGGGGAAGAGCTGGCTACACCACCATTAAGGGGAACCTCTCCTGTATCCATCACCCAGAAAGCATGTTATTGACACCATAATGCCTCCAGAAGCTGCCATTTGTGTGGCATGCTTCCTTTTTCTCCATCTATTCAGCCAGCTTGCCGTTCTAGGAGGCATAACAGCCCTCATTTTAAAAGAATAAACTTTTCTATTTAAAGTAGTCCTCCAAAATAATAAACCACTTCAAATCATTTTATGTTGCCCTGTTATTTGCATGTATATATAACCATGACTCTCAATGCCTAAAAAGATTTTTGCTTCTTTTCCTCACTATAAAATATTAGCAGGACAATTTTAGAAATCCAACTAATCAAGCATTTATTTAGGTCCTACAACATGCACATTTGAATGGGCTCATTAATGCAGTGACACTTTTTAAGGAGTTTCTTTTAACAATGTTGTTAGATACAGGCCACACTGAAGATTTTTTTTCTTCTTTTTACAGCAGTTTCATCATCACTGTGGTGTATTTATTCCTGGAATTTCTCACCTTGTTTTCAGTATCACGTGATTTTGCAACATCTGCTCCGCATCTCAAACATGATCAGAGTACATGTGTCTGTGGCAGAGGGCTAATGACTCACAGCAAAACTCAGAAAACTGGCTTGTTTTCTGAGAAGCTACATCTTCATTTTAATTTACTAAGAAGTGATACATTACTTGCTACTATCACAGACAGAGTGGAATTCACAGGGTACACAGAAAGGAGCAATGACTGCATTCATTTTCAGGGATAAAGTGAATTTGTGGCACAGTGCCCTGGGATAAATTTTCAAAAGTGACTTAGGCACTTAGCAGGCTTTCAGTGAGATGTAAGCTCCTAAGTGCCTATGCCTATTTTGAAAATAAATGTGATTTAGACTCCTAGGCCTAGATCCTTAAAGGTATTTAGACACCAAACTCCCACTAAAATCAATGGGAATTAGGTGCATCAAAAACCTTTGTGATCTCTCACTCCGAACACCTCGGCCCCACCCCCAGCCTGGAGCTCCCTCCTGCACTCCAAACCCCTCATCCCCGGCCCCACCCCAGAGCGCTCACCCTCATCTGGAGCCCAAACCCCCTCCCGAACCCCAACCCCCTGCCCTAGCCCAGTGAAAATGAGCAAGGGTAGGGGAAAGTGAGCAATGGAGGAAGAGAAGACGGAGTGAGCGGGGGCAGAGCCTCAAAGAAGGGGCAGGGGCCAGGCAAGGGTGTTCAGTTTTCTGCAATCAGAAAGCTGGCAACCCTACCTGCGAACTCTTACTTGCGTGAGCAGCCTGAGTGACTTCAACTACACTAGCTGAGCATTGCTCATGTGAACAGAAGTAACAAGGTACAATTAAGTACAATTAAGAAAGTTGAGGTATGCCTAAACTGGCGCTGGAGGTGTAAATTCCTGCTTGAGGAGACATACTTGTGCTAGCTCTCATCGAACTAGCGTGCTAAAAATACAAATGTAGCCACTGTGGCACAAGCAGGATCCTAACCAAGAGGCTAGGAATATATGGCAGCCACACTTCTATTCTTAGTGCACTAGCTTGATCACATCTAGTGCAGTTATGTCTTCTTGAGCTGGAATTTATACCTCCAGGCTGAAGCACAGACTCCTCGGTTTCCTTTTCCCTGTGGCACATAAAGTTCATAAACCAACACATGTAAATGCTGAAATCAGGAAAAGGGATCATGTAAACAAAAAAGCCCTGGCTGGGGTGATTTAGTTGGGGATTGGTCCTGCTTTGAGCAGGGGGTTGGACTAGATGACCTCCTGAGGTCCCTTCCAACCCTGATATTCTATGATTCTATGAAACACTAGCTGGATTTTTTCCTTTATCCATTAAATTGGCTTTTGTAGACATCACAAGCCAAATTTTGCTCTGATTTACTCCACTGACTGCAATGAAATTTACATAGGCATAAGTGGGGAGAACTGAGCCTGTTCATTTTAAGAAGGCTAGACTCTTCTCCTTCACATGCTTTATAGAACCAAATTATCATGATTAAGGCTATGATTTAATCATGGGTATTTTAGTAAAAGTCATGGACAGGTCAGGGGCAAGAAACAAAAAAATCATAGCCTGTGACCTGTCCATGTTGTCTACCATAAATACTCCGGATAGAATCTTTTTTTTTTGGGGGGGGGGGAGGGAAGGAAGGGGGGCGCTGCTGGGAGGGGAGGAAGCCCGCAGCACCAGCGGCCATTGGGGAGCTCCAGGGGGCCAACAGCTGCTCTGGCCGCTACCGTGGGGGAAGCCCCAGGAGGCCAGCTGCTGCTCCAACTGCCCTGGACCGCTGCCGGGAGCCACCAAGCTGCAGCTCCTCCCACCGCCGCCGGGACCGCTGCTAAGGAGGTTCCTGGAGCCAGCTGCATCGACCACTGCTCAGGCGGTCCTGGGGGCCAGGTGCTCAGGCAGTCCCGGGGGCCCGCAGCCTGAGGCTGCCAGAGCAACAGCCAGTGTGGCTGGGTCAGGGGCTGGGACCACTCCAGCAGTGGTTGGTGTGGCTGGCTGCAGAGCCGCTCCAGCAGCAGCCGGTGTGGTTGTCCCCACTGGCCGCTGCAGAAGTCACGGAGGTTGCAGGAAGTCACGGATTCCGTGACGTCTGCAACCTCTGTGACAAACACAGAGCCCTAATCATAATCCATCATCTGAATTGCAATGTCTGTGCAGAATCATATATTGGTCCATACACAACACCAATAATTGCCTGCACAAATACTTAATTCCCAAGCAGAATTTTATGTTTGCCAATGCAATTTTAGAACCAGGTTTTGGAAAAATGGCACACAATGTTATAGACCAATATTCTTTTTTTCTGTTTGCCTCCGACTATTGCACGCATTAATCTATATATGTACTGAAAGAAATATGATTAAAAGACAAAGGTGAGATTTTTTTAAAATCCACTTAGGGTGTTGGGATGCTCAATTCCCATTAATGCTAATTAACTAATTACATTTTAATGAGGATTAAATGACCAAATCCTTTCAGCAGCCCTGAAAATCTCAGCAAAGAGCAGAACCCTAAAAGCATTAGAACATGGCATCTTTGTAATATGCGAGTTACATTTCAATCCACTGCTGAGGCTGAATCCAGCTGTTCTCCTTTTTTTAATTTAACATTTATGCAAGAAGATTGCTTACAAAAATAAAACTACTGGAACTGCCTTAAGTTACACTTTTTGTGGCTTTGATAAGTAAAATGATCTGTCTCTGAAGTGTATGATTTCAGACCCAAAGGTCAAAAAAATCACTTAGGTTGCCAATGTTAACAAAAATTAGTGGAATAATAAAAAAAATTTAAGTGAATTTCCCTTTTCCCTCCCACTTTCTCCTCCACTGCTGCTTTATTTCCCTAGGAGTCCTGCCAGGTTAAGAAGACACAATACACCTCCAAAAATGACTAGTACAGTAGCAAGATAACTCCTTCCTTGGAAGCAAAAGTTGTTTCTTATCACAGAAGAAAGCAAAACGCTTATTAGGCATAACCATGAGGTAGGACATTTTAACATCAATCAATCCCGCTGCTTCTATTCTCCTTTTTGAATATTTTGATCAGGTTCAAACTGCAGTCCTCAATATGGAGCTTTACTATGGCACCCCCCAGCAGGAGGGGAAAAAAGTTATGGAGTTAATACATTTAAATTAGTATTTTCTAACTTGGGGAGAGGCCTTCCTAGGAAGGCAGCATATTAATGCACAAAGGAAGGGAAAACTACATGACTTTGGATCCACTCTGACCATCTGCCTCACCACAAACATACTGCCATGCATAAGCCACTAGGCAGCTCCTTGAAAGCCACCTACCATCCATTCCTGTTCCTACAGTGGTTTGCAATGCAGCTGGCCATGGAAGTAATTCACATGTATAGGGTAGCAATATGCCAACCTAAGCTTTGCTCAGTGACACTGAGCTCAGCTGCAAGAACACAAGGGTCTCAGGTATACAGAACCATCAATGAATGCCCTCTATCTTGAGAGCTGTATGTAGCTTTCTAGTAAGTGCAGGCAGGAAAGAGAATAAATTAAAAAAAGAAAAAGAAAAAAACACAAGGAAAAGAATAAAAAATGAATAAAAAATAAAGAAAAAACCATAAAAGAAAAAAGGAATAGGAGAGTAGGACTTGTTATAATAGATCACATGAGTGGTCCATCTAATCTAGTGTTCTGTCTCTGACACTGGCCATTAACTGCTGCTTCAGAGGATGGTTCAAGTAACCCTGAAGTGAACAGTTAAGGAATAACCTTCCACTGGGGAAGGCTGCTGGGAACCACTATTGTAAGTGAAGGTATTTGATGACTTCCAATGATAAATTCAGATCTGGGAGGATTAAAAGGAAACAGTGGGATGAGGTGGGGTGACAGGGGGTAAGGGAGGAACATAAAATCCAAATCAAAGGAAAACAAGTATGAACATTTCCATAGTAAAAGTTTTACCACTTACTGAACCACAGAACTCAGGACCCAAGTAGGTGATTACTCAGCTTTTACTCAGCCCTCACTCATGCAAACTCCCATTGAAGCAAAAGGTAGCTTGCCTGAATAAGATCCTTACGATTAAGCCCTTTGTCTTTACATAGTAATATTTCCTAAAATTATGAAGGGAAAAAAATCCTTCTTCGATACCTTTATAGTTTCCATAGGCACTCCAGGCTCCGGAACTTTATCCAAGTAAGTGGTCAAGTCTTGATCGACATGTTCAAACACTAGGGTTAGTTTGGTCTCTCTGTCTGTTCGTGACACTGTGCATACATCAAATAACCTGAGAGGAGAAAAAGGAAAGAGGAGATAAGTTGACGGAAACAAGCGAAGCAGTACCTTGCAGCTCATAAAACGTGGAGTGAAGAAAGAACTTTCCAAAGCAGGAACAGTCTGTGAACTCTTGATGATTTGAGTGATGATCAATTATTTGTGACATCACATTCAAATTTCATGTTTGGATTCTGAAATCACAAGTATTATGACTTCACAGCATGATCAAAGAGTGGTCGTTAGGTGAGGAGATGATCAATTCTGATCAAGGCACAACTACAGTTAACAGAATACAGAAAATGATTTGATTTTGTATTCATGTTCTCTGCCTACTGCCACATTTGCTCCCCTTTCATTCTTCTTTAAGAGAAAATAAGTATACAGTGACTTTTTCAAGAACCAAAGAAGCTGATTGCTTTTATACACCTTTTAATTTCTTCTCACACCTCTCCAACGTACACCATTACAATGATCTGTCACTCAGTTTAGAATCGCATTCTCCTTCTCCTCTGATCTACAGAAACAGTATTTTTGCACTCATCAATCTAGTAAATTGCTATAAGTAGGAGAGAGAGTCAGGAAATTGAGTTTAAAAAAAACTTTTATATACAAAATACAGCTGCTAAGATATTCTTCTTCTCTCATCATTCTGAGCACATTAATCTCTTACTTAAATCCCTCTGCTTTCTTACCCTCTTTCAGAGCATCGAGTTCAAAGTTTCTTCCCCTCATTTTCAAAGCTCTTCACAGCTCTCACCCTTCTTACTTGTCTACTCCTGTTTCTTACTGATACACCTCCCAGCTCCTCTAGCCAGTGATCTATGACTGCCTGTTTCCCACACACATTTCTGTGCCTCCTTATATGCATCTCCTTCTGAATGGAATGCCCTCCTCTAAATGATATGGAGGGTCACTGCTTTCTCTTCTGTCAAACCCTTCCTCAGAGCCCTCTTCTGCCACAATCCCCTGGGGAAATCATCTAATTACTGATGGCTTTCAAATGAGATGGGGTTATCTGACACAATCTTTTTAAATGATTTTTTAAAAATTACAAGTGTTATTTAAAAAATTATAGACTTAATTGCCTTCCTGTGTGAAACGTGAAACAAAATCAATCAATATATTTATCAATTGATAGTAGATTTTTTTTTTCTAAAATACCTGTAACTGCTATTCTTGAGAAGAAGAATATGTAGTTTGATAGACACTATTTTGAAATTAGTGGTGAAAAAATATTTTGGGTCAAAGTTACGATTGTAGTGATAAAATATGCATTTATTTTATACCCAATAAGAATAACATGCTTGTTTATTGTAGGGACAGTGTAGGATTAATGGGGTCCTTAATTAATAATTTCCTTATTCTTAGACTCAGAACTAAACTCCTGATAAGCTGGTTCCACAGTAATGCCTAGTGCACGAGGTCAGAGGTTCTCAAACTGGGGGGGGGGAGGGGTGCACTCCCTAGAAGTCACAGAAGGTCTGGGGTGTGTGAGGTGCTTTAGCAAAAAAAGCTGGGAGCCTCTGGGTTGCCAGAGAGTGGTGGCTGCTGGCCAGGTGCCCAGGTGGAGGGATGTAAGCTACCCCAGACACAAAGAAGCGGGGTGTGATCACACAAGTTTAAGAACCACTGCACTAGACCATAGTGCCTCCCTCCTAGTCACTGAAGTTATGCCATTTGAAAAATATGGGTAATAAAAATGCTTTGCACTTACTTAGTGTTTTTTCATCTGTAGATCTCAAAATATTTTATAAAGGTGGTTAAGCATTATCTCCATTTTACAGCTGGCCTAAGTTCAAAGATTTGAACCAAATTTAAGAGAGTAAGTGTGCTCTATTGGATGCTCTTATGGGTCTACCACTTCAGGGTTCTGGATCCAGCTTTAATAAATATTGCCTATACAATCTCTGGCTAGTCACTTAAACTTGGCTTCTTAGTTATTCCATTTTGAAAATGGATGTCTTAGGCCAAAGACACATTTTGATGAAGAATAATTGTAACACAACCAAGAGTTTCATTTCCTTTCACTTCTGAAAAGTAGTCCTGGCTAGTTCACAGATAAACATTGAAAATTCTCTCTGTAATGCCCTTTATACCCCCTAACAGCTTTAACAACAAAAGATCATGTCTCATTTTCAAATATTGGCAATTTCTTAAATTATTATTGTGCTTGAAAACTGCCTATTGCAAGAGTCAGTGTAAAACTCTGTTTCACATTTTGTAGCATATTAGGGTTTTGTTGGGAAATCAAAGGACACAAAGAAACATCAGAGGTTTTGTAACAATTTCTCCTCCTTTTTTGGTTTCAAGAAGTTCCTACTCCATTTAAGCAAAATGTTCAGAAAACATTCTAGTTAGCAATAAGACTTAAACCTAAAAATAAGCAAAAGGCTTCTTTACTGGAGTTGCAAGGAGAATTAAAATTGGCTTTATAATGGGACCGTGGAGCTTATCCACTCTCCATAACCAAACTTACATGTGAAGAACTGACATTACTGTCTTGGTTCTACATTTCTAATAACCCAGGCCTCCATCCCGGAGCTCAAGGACCTTTGCTGCTAGCAGTTCATTACAGAAATATCATTATATGCTTTCTAAGCTCACTAGCCAATAGAGGGAACATATTCTCTCACAAATATTTATGGTCAAATCCTCAGCTAGTGTAAATCAATAGAGCTCAGCTGACATCAATGGAACAACACCAGTTTATAGCAGCTGAGGATCTGGTCCCTTGTGCCCAAATCTGTTCTAACTATAAACAATGACAAAAAACCTCTTTTGACATCCATCAAATCAGAATTGTGCCCCAAAAGACCCACAACAAAAAAACCTTAATAACTGCTAAAAAACCACCTATTTACATTAAATACAGGAGTTTCCAAGGAGATTGAACTGTCTGATAAATTTGAAGGAATTTGTGGTTTGGTGATGGAAGAAGACAAAGAAACAGGGAAAAGTTAATATTTTAAATCGGGGTGATTTTTACATGACCTGCAATTTAAACATCATTTTGATTAATTTTCTTTACAGAAACATTCTACTTTGTTTTCACAACAAATATGGCAGTTTTTAGATCAGAGTATTTTTGGAGCCAAACTTATATGGGCTGCAGAATAGAAGCTTGGTGCAACTTTAACAGAGAGAGACTCCGCCTCTCCATAAGAAACTTATTTTGACCTAATTAATCATATAAACAAACATTCATCAGATGAACATGAGAACATATATTTATGGAGCTGATATTGTCTATAATAGCAAAAACTCTGGAATATAGAATATCAGAGTTGGAAGGGACCTCAGGAGGTCATCTAGTCCAACCCCCTGCTCAAAGCAGGACCAATCCCCAATTTTGCCCCAAAACCCCCTAAATAGCCCCCTCAAGGATTGAACTCACAACCTTGGGTTTAGCAGGCCAATGCTCAAACCACTGAGCTATCCTTCCCCTCCAAGTATTATTCTCTTTATAATTCCCTTAATGGGACAACATAAAGAAGATAGATGCCTCTGTATAGAAAATAAGTTTTGTGAAAAGTCACTAACCGTTCTGAAAAGCAAAATTCCCTGGTATTTGGCTGGAGGTTAATAATCTGTAATATATTTATATGAATCAATGTGGAATGTAGCCGGACTGCCTATAACCCCAACACATGCAAACAGAGAGGAGCCAGACAGGTCTGAACATCTGAACATAAACACTGGAAAATATTTCCAACTGTATGATTCCTTTGTGTTTGCTTACATTTACTTAAAAAAAATTAAAACACCTTTTTTTGCCAGGTATTTAATACATTGGCAAAACTGCCCTTTCAACCATTGAAGGGTTGTAATTCAGTTTATTTGGGGTTTTTTAAACAAGATTTCACTGTGTCAGATGTAGAAGCAATGTATATGACTACAAGCTTCCTTTACAGGGAAATCAAATACCAATACTCTGTTTAATTTTTACCAATTGTACTTAATTTGATCCTGGTATTCTAAATGCATGTTAATAGGTACTCTGCTAAGTTTAAGAACTGTAAGAATGTTTGTCTATTAATCACTGAATGGAGTAGTAATAATGCTAATATCTTGCACTTCTATGCCACCTTTCATCTGAGGACCTCAAAGTGCTTTACACTTAATTAAATAAGCTGCAAATCCCACCCCACCCCATCTGAAGACAGTAAATAGGATATAATTATCTCTGCAAACTATAAATGCTCCCTAAATAGATAATTTTAAGCAGAGCTTGTTTAAGCCTTTGATAAAAAAATAATATCTAGCATTGCCTGTGTTAATTACCCCTGGAAGAAGATAGCTAGCATGAGGTACACCCTCTTGCTTAATAGCTCCCCTATTGATGGGATAGCCTCATTACAAATTATACCCTTCTATATTCACTGTGAGAAAAGCATCCTTATGTGATTCCATAACGGTTGCCTTCTATGGTTAGGATTCACTCTGCCATCTAAACTGTAATTCTTTCAGGCCATTTCCTGCTTATTTTTTCCTATTTGACGGGTTATACAGCATCTCTGGCACAGGCTACAGCATACAGCCTTTTATTTAGAAGCTCACATTGTGTCCATAGACCTCAGTGGAGTAAATCCAGATAAATTAATACAGGATTTCCATACTGAATACTTTGTAAACACAAACCCTGCCTTTCTATTGTACTTATAAAAGAAACCTTTGCATTATTTGCAATGCCTAAATCTAAGATCCGCTACAGGAAGTCCTGCAAGTATTTAACAAGAAGTTTGGCTGGAAACGGTTGAAGGGCTGATGTGCAGATCTGAATTAGAACACTATGAAATACTAGATGCCTACTGCAGACTTGCTTTTCAATGGAGCCAACTTTTAGAGTTAACAGTACCACCTAGGAAAGATTTATCAGCTATGAACACACATAGAGCTCTATTTTCACTTTTTATATTATGTGAATATTTTCTGTATCACTACACAGAAACATATTTGTCTTTTTCCCAGTGGTATTTTGCACTGAGAATTTAGAAAATTAGAGAATGTATA